GAATAATTGAACAGGACTGAGGCTAGCGAGCGAGGCCGCTCTCTTCCTCCTCCTCCCCTCCCCCCCACACCTGGACGAGCCCCAGTAGTGCTCTCTGGTCCAGCACGGAGATGTGGCCAGAGCCACCTCTTCACGCAGCCCTCCGAACACACGTGCACGCTGGGATGTAGACGGGCTTGGATATGGAAACACCCACGTGTCCATACAGGCACCAGTGTGCGGGCAGGCACACGGTTCAGACACACATATGCAGGCATGGGCTCGTGGACATTGGCACACCAAATCATGCTCACAGAGGCATCCGTGCACACACACATACATGTTTGACAGCAGGCAATGAATGGCCAGCACACACACATACATCCCTACCCCCTGGAGCTCACCCTCCAAACCAGGTCATTCATACCCTTACAATGTACCCAGAGCCCCAAGGGCGCTCAAGAGTAAGACACCACCACACATCCAGTCTGCTCCCCACTCATCCCAAAAGGGTGCTCCCCAACCCCTACAGAGGCTCTCCCCACTCCTCCAACCTTTCCTCTCCTGGCCTGATGCCCCTCCCCCACCCTCAATCTCTCCCTTCACTGGGGTCTCCAGGACACCTGTCCACCACCAATTGTCCCATTTATGACAAAACCCTTCCTGGGCCATTTTTGTCCCAAAAGTGACTGAGGAAGCCATTTCTCCTACAGGGTACCTCTCATACTGGGGTCTGCCTCCCAAAAAAACTTTGGGGGGGGGGTCTTTGGGAAGCATTCATCATAGCTCTTGAGGTAAGTTCAGGGAGACTCACTTCCCTCCATCTGGATGTCACCTGCATATTTACCTCAACCTGCTTGGACAGGGAGAGGGTGCCATGGGGAAGCAGGAGGAGGGAAAGAGGAGAGGTGGTGCAGAGGTGACCCTGAGCAGGGGCTGAAGACATGGTGTAGCAGAGTGAGAAGTGGGCAGGAGGGAGGAACAGATGAGGTGGGAGAGGGAGGGCCAGGAAAGCTGGCTCCCGCTTACTGAGTCTGAATTTTGTTTGGGAGCAGAATTATCAACGTGAAATTTGTACACTGCCCTCGTTCCTGGGTACAGTCAGGACCTGGGACAGCTATACCCATTGCCGCTGCCACCCTGAACTCTTGCTAGATGCCAGAGCCCAGTACAGCCCCCAGCCCTTCAAAAGTAAAGAAAGAGGTCTGCAGAGGCCCCCCAGATGAGGCTTCCAGATGGTATGTGGCCCCATGAGGAAGGAGACACGGTAGGCTGGGGCTCCCAGAGGATGTGCCTTCCTGTCCTCTGGCCCCTTCTTGTGCTCTGGAATATAGACTGACACAGCTCTGAGCAGGCAGAAAATTTATGGCCCCAAAGGGAGGGAGGGAGGAGCTGGTGGGAGAGAGGAGAGGAAGGGAAACCGCCTAGAGGCCAATCAATATCGGTGAGTGGGAACTGGAGAGAGTTGGAGGGGGAGATGCTGGAGAGGGGGAGACATGGAGGGTAAAAAGGCAGAGAGAGACAGAGGTGTGCGAGAGATCAATAGAAGCTGTAGAGACTGAGCAGAGACCGGGAGGCAGAGATGTGAGGAGCCGACCCCCTGGGAGAGGCAGGAGACAGTCTCTAAGACACAGCACCAGCCCAGGGGCTTTGGGAAGGAAGTACCGCCCCCCTCTTCTCATATCCTGTTTTCAGCCTCTCCACTTTCCTGTCTTTCATCACAGAGATGTGTTCTTTCTCTCTGATCTTCTCTTTTCAGTCTTCCCAGAGCAGAATCTCCTGAGCCTTAGAGGAACAGAGGTCCCTTCCCCTCTGGGAGTAGTCCCCATGTCACAGATGGAGAGACTGAGGCAATAAATGAAGAAAGGCCGTCCTGAAGGTCGTGACTCCTAGTGTCTCCCTCACCAGGCAGCTGCACACCGGGCCAGGATGCTCAGAGGCCTGGCTCTGCCTCTCCACCTTGGTCACGTCTTCCCTGCTCCCTCTCTTCAGGCCCTGGCCCCGTTGGGCCCCCAGGGCTTCCCAGGGCTCTTATTCCCAGGGACCTCTCCATTGGGTCCCTGCCTGACCTTGTGCCCACAGGTCCCCAAGAACACCAACCACACAGAAGGCCCAAAAAGCCACACAGAAGAGCAGCCCCAGGAGAAAAGGAAGGGGTAGGGCTTGAAAGCCTTGCAAAGACCACACTCCCCAGATTCTTGTCCTGTCCTTAGGGTGGGGACGGATCTCAGAGGTACCCCAGGGCCAGCTGTAGCTCACTGGGAGGAGCAGCATGCAGGCTCCCAGGTTGTACCCACCTTGTCTTTAGCTCCACAGCTTTGCTCGGGCTATGCCGCCAGACCAGTGCTTAGGGACGGTGACATTTCCCAAGATGGGCCCTGCTCCTCAGCCCCAACTCTCCCTCCCTTCCACCAGACAGGAAACCAGAGAAGTTGCTCTTCCCATCTCTGCCCAAATGTGGCACAGCTCCCTAGACCTCCGCCATCCATGGTTATACCCCCTTTCCAGAAGCTTCCACTGTGTGGGAGCGAGGAGTGCTGATGAGTGGCAGCGCTTTTTGATCAGATTTCCTCCATCCCTAGCAAGAAACGGCACAACCACCATCCTCAGAACTTGAGCAGCAGGGGCGACAGAGGCAGGACACACGGTCTACCAGAGCTGGCCTCCAGTGCCCTTTGACATGAGGCTAGGTTTCCTCCCCAGCCAAAAGGCAAGGATGGTCTCCAGCCCATGGCCTTCTCTGAAGATCAAACTGAAGAGCTTTGTCGGTGACACCAATCTATCCGTTACTATGTCTGCAGGTGTGTGCCAAGCTGAGCTACCCGGAGGGGAGAGGCCTGACCACAGCATGGCAGCCAGGCCCCAACTGCCCCTGAGCGGGCTGTCTGGAAGGCTTTGGCAGACACAGAGAACAGCAGGTCAGAAGAGAGAAATCCGAGGGACAGAGTGGGGACAAAGGTCCCAGGGCTGGCCATGCCTGAGAACTCCAGGAAGGCGCTGAGGGAGACATGTTTTCAAAGGGGAAGGCGAACCGGCCTCCTGTCAAGAGCCCCTGTCCCTGGAACAAGTAGGTTTCCCGTGTGGGATTCATGAAAAGCCGGCAGTGTGGGGACCGAGGCAAGGGCACTGCGACTACCTCCACGGATCTACTGTCCCTCCCCAGGCCCCACTCCCTGTGCCTAACGTAGAGAAACACAGTTTTCTTGCGTGTGTTTGCATGTGTGAGCGTACGCCCATGCGTCAGTGTGTCTGCTTGGTCTCTCCGCGTAGCTCCCCACCAAAGCCCTCTCAAGCGATGTCTGCTGAGACTGCTCTCTGCTCAGCCCTGTGTCCCCGGCCCAGTCATTAGAGAGAGACTCCAAACCCCTCCAAAAGTCAAAGGCTGTCCTCCTCTGCCAGGCTCCAAGCAGCCACCAGCCACCAACCACTGGGACTGAAAGTGCTGCTAACCCTGTCCTCTCTGGGAAAGGACCTCAGACCACATGCACATTGACCGGCAGGTGCCCAGGGAGCCAAGAGAACCAAGTGAGGACACCAGGGAGTGTCCTTGTGGCTCCAGGGGACAACCTGCAGTTGGGATTCTTGAGGGAGAAAAAGGGCCCATGTCCAGGGAAATCAGCTGTCCCACCAGCTCAGAGCCAGGAGAGGCCACCTATCAATAGATGACCCCAGAGATTCAGCCAGCAGCTCCCCCTGGGCTCCAAGGCAAATGAGAAGAAGCAAGCGGCACAGAGCCCTCTTGGGCTCTGAGGGACCCTCCTTCCTCCCAGATGGGCAAGGGCCTGCTCCCTGCACCGCCCATCCCCCAGGCACTCACGGTCATTGCAGACGGGGCCTCCGTAGGAGGTCATGGTGCAGTCACAGGTGAAGCCATCCCATTGCTGCAGGCAGACGCCCTGGTTGGCACAGGACTCCTCGGTGCAGGTGGTGCTGGGGCCTGGAGCGGGCAGGAGGAAGGACACCCCAGCTCAGCCAAGCCCCTCCCTCCCCCAGGGGGTGCGGAGCCTCAGCTGTGCCAGGCTGAAAGGGCCCAGGACTGACCAGGGGGATGGGGGGGGAATGGGAGGCTCGAAGACCGGCCTGGAACCACACTGAGTGCCCAGAGTGGGAGGCAAAAGGGAGGGCCAGCTGTCCCCTGCCCCAGAGCTCTGGGGACAGGTTCCCACAAAGCCTAAGAAGAAAGCCACCTGCTGAGCATGGGGCACCTGCTAGCCACTCCCCTACACTCACCATCACAGCCCCTCTCCACCTGCCCGATGCGGTGCAGGGCATCAGCGATGAGGTCTGGGAGGCGCCCGTTGAGGTCCACAGAGGCCAGGCAGCCCTGAAAGCCGTCCCGGGAAGCCACCAGCTTAGGCAGGTTGCTGAACATATTCTTGCTCAGGCCGCCAATGTACAGCTCCCCTGCAAAGGGAGTGGGGTCAGCACGCTGGCACCCAGCGCCATTTCCCTCCCAGGACACTGGCATCCCGTGTGCTGGACACTCCCAGCCCTCTAGGAGGCTCATGGTGTCCCTAACAGAGTGCCGGCGACCTGCAGATACCCACCCCCCACCTCTTCCTCCTTCCTCTCCATTTTGCCATCTGTCTGTGCCCCTCCCAGAGAAGCCCAGATGCTGGGAGAGTGGGGGGTGGGGGACAGCTGGAGGAACCTGCTCGTGCTCTCCCACACGTTCGGTTCCAGTTCCGGCCTGTAATCAGGGCCTTTCATAGATGTGCAGCCCCATCCCCTCCACCCCCGCTCCCCCTCCCAAGCCTCCTGTTCCCAGAACTACTCGGGCCTCTCCCAACTTGGAGTCCTCTCCTAGGCAGTTCTAAGCCTCCCCCCTCCCCCAACTGCTAGAGCTCTGGAAAGAAGTTCTCCTTGAGGCCATCTGATCCCCAACAGGGGCCCTGATCCCCTGGAAGCCTTGGGCAGCACAGAGCAGGGCTTCGGCCCACACACTGGTCATTCTACATCCTGGCCAGGGCTGGCTGCATCACAAGCCCGCCCAAGGCTGGAGGCCACTTCAGATTCTCTGTGACACATCGCCCTCTCCTGGGAGCAGAGAGAATTGTCAGCCCTGTGCCACCAGATCCGGCAGATCTGGGATCTGGCTAGGGGACGGAATTCACTGGCTTCTGGTGCCTCCCCAAGCTCAGACAGTTTGAGTCTCATGGACATCCAGGGGTCCCTCTGGGGCCTGTGCAATAAGGTAGCCCACATTGACCCCAGCAGGATTGATCAGCCACAGGCCTCGTCCCTCCTGTCCCAATGTCCAGCCTCCTAATTCATCCTCCTCTTCCCATCCTCTCAACTGCCTATCCTGGGGACAGGTAATGACCATTTCGATGACTACTGAAGAGACACTGGAGAATGTGGAACACTGGTGTGACCCAAAGTGAGCCCAGCCAATGCCCAAGATGCAGGATCTGGGGACACCAGGTCCTGCTGCGTGCCTGTCCTCCATCCTCCCCCCCAGCCGCACTTGACAGGTCAACAAGCACCCTATTCTCTCTCCAGCCTTCAACTGAGGCAGGATTCTCAACCTTGGGGGTTCAGGGGGTCCTTGCAAGGTCTGGCCTACATACTCCTCGCTCTAGAGTCAGGGCACCAGGGACCCCATGAGACACATCTGATGACCAGGGCTATGTTGCAGGGTGGACTCGCAGGAAAGCTGAGCGGGACTTTGGCCACATATGGTCAGCCGGACATAGTGGAGGCCGAGAGGCAGGGAGTGAGGGTGAGGGAAGCAGCATTGCAGGAGGGGAGCCCTTGCTGGGGCCACGGGCATCTGGGCTAGGGCCAGGCCTCCTCCAGAGGCCCCAGCCCCACCTTTGAGATCGAGGTTTCGGGCGCCATTGGAGTGCTGCGTGACAGTGCGGGAGTCAATCTTGAGCGTGTGCACGTTGCCTGGGTCCCTGGACACCACCACGTTGTGCCACTGGTTGTCATTGACTGGTTTGTCTGAGTTCCCCTTCATCAAGGACGGGCCATTCCCCAGGTCAAACACGTAGTGGACGTACCTGCCCCACGGTAGGGAGGAGACACTGGGTCAGGGCGGGGCGAGGCTGGGAAGGCGGGGTTCAGAGGAGCTACCGCTGGCAGGGGTCTTCCCTGGGGGCCATGGGAAGAAGGAGGGACCCCCCCCAGGAGGGAACCAAAGCCATGGCAAGAGGACAAGATGTGAAGTCCTGTCACAGCAGGCCACAGGCTCAGGGGAGCTAGTAGATGGGACGGTTTAGTGGGGCAGCAGGGACCCTCGGGAGCAGGGACCGAGCTGCTCCGGGGTGGGATCCTCCAAGGCCGAGGGGCTGGGCTGATGGCGTGTGAAGAGGCTGTGGAGGAGAGGATGATGGGGACCCTAGTGAGGAAGGAGCTGGGGAGTCAGCCCCTGGAAGTGGGGCTCCTTCTCCATCCTGGCTGAGTAGCTGGGAACCTGAATCTCGACCTGTGGTTTGGGGACACTGGGTACCCGCAGTGGTCCAGGGAGCTGTATCTTGGTCCGTAAGGGGAGGGGACCGGTTCCCTAAGCCATGCCTGGCCCCTCACCCCTTGACCAGCTCGATGACAATGAAGTCGTTGCCGTTGCCCGAGTTGAAGAGGAGAAGCCCGTCGGGGGCCGTGGTCTTGAACTGGAAGAAGAGGTGCATGGAGGCGTAGGCCTGGAGCGTGGCCAGGGCCAGGTAGCTGCTGCGACTCTTGAAGGTGACGGGATCGGCCACGATGGCACGCAGGCCAAAGCGGGCGTTGAGCTCGCAGTAGGTGATGTCACCGTCCTTGCACTGGTCCATGTAGGGCTGGCCGTTGAACACCAGCCCGCTCAAGTGCCCGATGAAGTTGGAGGGCACCACGGAGATGAACCGCCGCTCCGTCATGATGCCCGTCTCAATGTTGTGGAACTCCAGCCGCGTGTGGGCTCCCGCCATCTGTCCTGCTCGGGACAGGAGGTCGAGGTGAGGGGGACGGCCTCGGAGCACACACCACAGGATCACTTCTGAGACTGGGCCTCAGGTTCCCAGGAGCATCCCCACGTGAGGCCACGCATAAGGGACATCACCAGAGCTGCCCTCGGCCAGCACTAGCGGCAGACACAGCTCCAGGAGGAGCTGGGGGACCCGTAGGTGGGTGGCCCACGGGCTTTCAGGAAATGCTGCCTGCTGGGAGTGGAAATGGCCCCCGGGGTCCAAACCCCCATAATCAACCACCCCTCAGGGGGAAGTGGCAGAGGAGCTTCACCAGAAAGATACCCTGGGACCAGAAGTCCAGGCAGAGGTCTCCAAAAACCCAGCACAGGTCCCCAGAGACGTATCCACCTACCCTCCACGGTCACGTTGTCCACAGACAGCTGCAGGCTCTTGCCACGCCGCACCACCCTTACTGTGTGCCACTCATTGTCATTGAGCTTGTGCCCCGCAAAGAGCGTCTCGGGCCCTTTACCTGCAGCACCAAGGGGGGAGTGAGCACAGCACTCAACGGGCCCACAGGCAGCTTCCCGGACCACCCCCGGTGACAGCCCCACACACACCTGTGCACGCGTGCACACACACAACCCACGGCACAGAGCCATCGTGCACACACCCGTGCACACAAGTTCACACACTCCTGGCCTCACCACATCCCCAGGGTGCACGCGCACACAGAGCTTTCACACTCAGATGCACTCGGCCACTTGGGGCGATTTCAGAGGGTGCCATTCGCATAGAAGAGGAGGTGAATGGTGCCCCTGGAGTCACCCCGACACCCCGCACTCTGAGGCTCAGACCTACGATCAACAGTTTCCAGACTCTGAGGACCTGCCATGCGTGTCACCAGCAGCTCAATTTCCCTGTATGAGCACAAGGCCTGACACTTCCAAAAAGCCACACAGCCTGACCACACACCCCAGTGGAAATGGCTCCCACAGCTCGTCATCCACCCTGATGCCCAGCTCCCCCATCTGCAGGGGGACCCTTCTGCCTGGTGAACTCTACACACCGGGACATGTGGCCACATGTGCAGCAGGTAAGAGCCAGCACAGCCAGAGCGGGGTGCTCTGTTTCTTAGGAATTACGACCATTTATTCAAGGTCAAGATTATCTGCTCCCCAAGTCTAAGATCAAACGTACTTATCTTTCAAATGTAGCTGGATGGTGCAGCATTCCCAGGTCATCCCTGGGCCCCTGGTGCTCGCTCCTGCTGGGGCTGAGCATGCTGACATTAAAGGATCTCTGGTCCTCACACAGCATGTGACGCACACATTCAGCAAGGGACCGGGAGCACACAGTCTCTCTGCCTGTGCCTTCCATGCTCACATGCTCCCTCAGTGACCTGATCTCAGAGCACACAGCCCAGTCACACCAGCCTCCTGTCCACCCCTGCTGGCAACTCTCACTGCCACCTTGGAAAGAGCCCCCATTTGGCAGGATTACGCCCTTCAGGGAACACAGGCCACGTGTTGGGCTGAACTCTAAGGCCCTGGGTGCTCCTGGCTGGCCCTCGCCTTCTTTCCCGTGTGCCTCGCCTGCCCCCTTGTGGCCATCGCTGGAGATGCAGCAGCATCTCCCCAGCCCTCCAGCTCCTAGGCGCCTGCAGGATGGGGGAGTCCCAGAGGCAGGTGCCACCTGGGCCTCTGTTTCCACCTCCTCCCCACACTCCTGTAGACTTCCCTTTCCCAGAACCTACCGGGCACCGTGACCACGGACCCTTTGCCAACTGTCCCTGGTCCACTTCATTCTGCCCGTTCTGCCCCCTGGAACCCCCTGCGCTCGGCCCCCAGGCCTGCTCCCCACCCCTCACCCATGCCAGCATCCACACAAGCCAGCGATGCAGAATTCGCCTCCCCGCCCTTCCTCCCTCCCTAAGTCCCAGTGTCCAGCATCCCAGCCCCTTGGGTCTCTGCAGGAGAGGGAAGCCACTTACTGGGTGCGCAGCCGACGCGCAGGCAGTCTGGGGGGGCCATGGGGCGGGCAGAGGGGGAGGGGAGACAAAAAGGCAGAACAAGGTTTTTTTTTTTTTTTTTTACATCCTTCACAGGGAGGGGTATCTGCGGGCAGGGGTTCCCCCCGGGGCCACTTTCCGGGGACCACGCGTGCCCAGGTGCCCTTTTCCCCTCCTCAGTTGAACCCCAGTCCCTCCTGCCCCCAAGAAGGCTCCAACCCTCCCCAGAGCTGGGAGGCAGGGCAGTCAGGTGACGGGAAGAGGCTTGTGTCCCCTTCTTGGGGGGGCCCAGGCCTCTCGTGCCTGAGGGAGACGGGCACCTTGGGAATCCCAGTCGCACAGGGGATCGCCAGGGGCTGAGGGCTTGACCAGCCCCACATCTCCCCAGCCTCTGGGAGGGAGATGGGTGGGGAGGGCCAAGGTCCCTGCACCCCCTGCTCTGGAACGACTCCCTGCTCAGAGCCCAGGCGTGACAGCACTGCCGGTGCTCCAAGCTCAACGGAGGGGTCTGCCCCAGGGCCCCCTTCCCCAGGCCATGTACCTCCCAAAGCCCCAGGGGCTGGCACCGCCCCTACAGGAACCTTCCTTCTCCCCACCCCGTCCTGGCAGAGCCTGGCTGCCACCAGGGATCGGGTGCTCCTCACCCTGAAGAACTAGTGCGTCATGTCTTCCTAGGGAGGGGCTCCAAAATCTGACCTCTCTTAGGAACCAGCAAGTCAGGGCCAAGCCCCTGCCTCTGCCCAGCCCTGCATGGCTGTGCCCTGATTTCGAGAATGGAAGGGGCCCTCACGGTTGGCAAGGCCACGCTTTCACAGAACCTGCAGCCAGGGCCATCCCCCTGGTCGGGCACATGGCCCACAAGGTGGAAAAGCCAGCCCTCGCAGAAGGACAGAGCTCCAGGTCCTATGAAGTCCAGGTCTTAGGCCCTTAGGTCGCCTGTCCTCTTTGTGAGACCCAGACCCCTCTTGGCCTGAGGGAGCTGCTGGCCAGAGCACAGAAAGCCCTGCGCCTCGGGGCCGGGAGCCGGGTCTTGGCCTCACCCTCACGCTAACTCACTGCGGTCTCGGGCCAAGGGGTTCCCTCTGAGCCTCGGCTTCCCTTCCTGTGAGCTAGGGCTGGGACAGGAAGATCGGCAGCAGGGATCAGGTGACAGCCCTCGCCTTGCAGGGAGCCCTCAGTGAACAGCAAGGTCCTGGCCTCCCTCCTGTCGCTCCTCCGAAGAAAGGCCCTGCCCACATACCCCATGGCTCAGGATGCCCCTGGCATCCCCTGGGCCCCTGAAGGTTCCTGCAGTGGAGGTAATCAGATGGCCCCTGTGGCCCTGGGGGTCATGGGCCTGTCGGGCAGTACAGCTGAGCTCCACACGCGTTGTCAACCGCAGCAGAAGAGTGGGGGGAGCAGCCGGGACCCTGAGCCACAGCCTGGCACCAAGAGAGGGGCAGAGGAAGGTCAAAGGGCAGACACAGGGAAGTGAGAAGTGACAGGAGGCGGGGGGGTGCAGAGAGAAAAGCGGAAGATCTGGGGGAGCAGAGGGAAGGAGAGGCTGGACAGCGGGGAAGTGGAGTGGCCGAGGGCGGGAGGTGCCAGGCCCTGGAGTCAGGTCCCGGGGGCTCTCTCAGGGCCAGCAGAGTCTTCACCAATGAAGGGTCCAAAAAAGAAAAAAGGGGGCTGGAAGGGCAGGCTGATCCCCCACTGGAGAACAGACCCCAGGAAGGAGTTGACTCTTTCCCTTCCCCAGCAGAGGAGTGTCAGGAGAGGAGGGGTCCGTCTGTCCAGAGAAGAGGTGGTGGCTACACCCACCCCACAGTGACTCCACCCTCAGGAGCCCCTGCTCCAGTGAGGCATGAGAAGGGTGAGCCCACCTGAAGGTGGACACCCAGGGGAGCCAGGACCCTCCCAGGGGAAAGCCAGAGGGGGAGCAGCGGCTGGAGAAGCAGGCCCCCCGCCCACACTCACCCAAGCACAGCTCAGAGCAAGAAAACCCGTCACCTGCTACGGGCCGGGGCCTGTGCCTCGAGAGCAGGCAAAGGACAGGCACGATTGGTCTGCACAGACCCACCAAGGCCCCAGCTGGACAGAGAGCAGGGTGGAGGTATGACTTGTGACAGGACAGGGGAGAAAGCAATCCACACGGAAAAGGATGCAGAGAAAGACACAGCCCCCAGCACCCGTTGCACAGGCCCCAGAATGGAGATGTAGGCCCCCAGCCTCTGGAGCATCTCCTCTCGGCAGTGACATGGCAGAGTGGCAGCATCAGCTCCTGGTGCAGCCTCAGGCTTGGCCAGTCCCCCTGCAGCTTGGCTCTCAGAAGGAGCTACTGAGCAGCCCCTCCCACAGCGCTGGGGTGAAAGGGCGTGGGGTGTGATGAGCATCTAGCCTGAGAACGTGAGCCAGAGCTAGGCACAGCTCGCGAGGTCTGAACTAGAGGAGATTTAGAGCAAGGGGGACTTCAGAAGAGCATGGTGACATTCAGGAAGAAGAGCCCAACACCAGAATGGCCATCTCAGAGGTGGGCAGCTCCAGACACTGCAGGCAACGGAACAGAGGTGGAGGCCTCCCGCAGGCAGTGCGCACACACCGAGGGCCACACGCTTCCTGTCAGCCACACTGGCACAGCTGGGACGCCATGGGCACACTTGGTAGAGGACAACTGCAGGAAGGGGGAGAGGGCAGACTAGGCTGGTACTGGCCCCAGTGGTCAAACCCAGGGCAGAAGGCAGGGACCCAGGCCACACTGGAACCAGGCAAAGAATCCAGGTGACATTACCATCTTCTAGGGACAGAGAGCAACTGCCCCTCTCAGGGGCTGTAGAAATGTGATCATTGCACAGTTCAGTTCCTCAACCCTCTGCCTGGAAGGAGGCAGCCTTTTGGCCCTGTCTTGTCTAGCCAGGTCCCCATCTCTGGAGCTGGCCCAGAGGACCCCTCCAGTCATCCCCAGGGTTGGCTGGCAGGCTCCACTCCTTCTTCAGGCCCAGCACGGAGCCCGGGTCCTTCCATGAGTGCCACATGAGCCACGTAGCTACCTCTGTACCTCTGACCTCCCTCCCTCCAGATGAGGCCAGAGACCAAAACCACCTGGGTTCTGCAGTGTAGCCCAGGACCAGGGCCTTGGTGCTGCTCCATCTGTGGGGCCCTGTAGGCCCTGAGGAGTAGCAAGATGCAGATGGCAATGGGGCTCTTGAGGCGGGAGCAGACGGGGTGACACTATGTGGAAGCAGCCTGCCAGGCCCACCTCCAAGCTTGGGCCCCTGTCCCAGTGTGGTTTTTCTTTGAGAAGGCCGGACAGTCCCTACAGATGTCTTCACTCACGTTATTCCATTTGAGCCTCAAAGCCACCCCAGAGAGCAGACAGAGTGAGGATTCTTATCCCCATTTAACAGAGAAGAAAACAGAGACTCAGAGAAATGACTTACCCAATATTAAAAGATCCCAAGGCTGGACCCCAAACCCAGAACTCCTCCCGTCCCAGCCCTAGGCTGGGTGGCTGGGTAGCTGTCATCTGGGACCATGTCTGTCTCCAGTAGCTACACAGTGGCCATATGCCCCGTGGCCACACACCAGGGGGTATGTGAAGGCAGATGCATCTGCACCAAGCGTTGGGTCAGTCTGTCATGAGCTAAGCTAGAGACGGCATCTCAGCACACACATCTCTGTGGATGGGGCAGGAGCACAGCCAGAGGTGACGGGGAGACAGGACAGCCCCGTTGGCTGTCGGTGTGAGAAGCCCATTCTTAACACTATGGGTCTTCCAGGAGGGCCAGCTTGTTATCTGACTTCTGAGATTTATTTCTACGGCTCAGAGAAGCATGCCCATGGGAAGAGGGTGGATCCCAACGGTGCAAGGTCCCAGGGGTCACCAGAGCAAGGTTTCAAGGCCAGGGATGCTGCCTCCTGTCTAGACTGCTGGGCAGACCTGAGGAACATTGGCCAAAGGGCATCTCCCTGCCCGCTTTCCTGCAGAGTGGCCGCAGGGTGGGTGGTGAGAGCAGAGCTGTAGGGGTCCCCTCAAACCAGCTCAAGGCCATCTGCACAGCTCCCCACCTCAGGCCCTGCCTTGCTAGGCAGATCCTTGACCCAGGAATACACAGGCCAGGTGACACAGTACAAGTACACTAGCCAGGTGACGAGCCCCGAAAGGCCAGTGTCTCCCAGAAATGCCCTGGAGACCAAGGTTAGGGTGAGATTCCAGGTCAGTATTTCAAAGCTCCAACCTCTTTATTCTCCCCAGCTGAGGATTCTAATCTACTCAGAAGAGCCCTACTTCTCTTCCAGGCCCAGGATACACCAGGTGACCCTCGTGGCCTGAAGTCTTCTGCGAGTCAGATCCCTGGGCACTGCATCCTCACGGGCCTCGAGAGGCCAGTCTGAGACAGGCAGATGTGACCCCAGCCTGGTCAGCTCAGGACCCCTCACCTCCAGAGCTCCCCAGCAAGAAAAGTTCCAGAAGAACTGGGGCCTTGCTTATCCCCTGCTGTAGGACCTGGCTTGGAAGACAGCTGGCACTGTAAGATGTCCCCTAGAAACCAGCCGAATGAGTAGAGCCGCTGCTCTCTCCTGGTCCTGACCACGAAAGCTGAAGCCCATGGACTCCCCCGCAGGGAGCCTCTCAGTCCCATGCAGATACTGGGGACAGGCAGGTGACCTGGAACCAAGCCCGTCCTCACCCATGAGCACAGGAAGAGGCAGGGGACAGTGTGTTGCAGAGGGCCAGAACCCGACAGCCCTGCCACCACAGCCCTGATGGAGATGTCAGGGAAAGCAAGGCACCTTCAGGCCAAGGACGAGGGTTTGGGACGGACTCCTCCCTATGACGCTGGGCTCCATCCCTCTGGGATGCCAGGTGAGAGTTTCATGATCTGTAAGGCAGGGACTGCCATGCCAGCCTGGCAGCCTGGTGCCATCATGAGGTGGCCATGGGCCTCAGCTGTGGAAGCCCATGGTGCTAGACAAGGGCAGAAGGGCATGTCCCTGTGTGTCCAGTGTGTGCCCGGGCACCTACCCACGCCCCTCTACGCTACGCCAAGAGGCCGAGGGTGGCTGTGTGCAGGGGCCGCTGCACGGAGCTCAGGCTCAGTCCCCGCAGGCTGCAGCAAGTGTCTCCCAAATGAATGGACCAGTGAATGAGCAGGGGTGCACCCAAAGCAAGAATGAGCTGCGTCATCACACGTGCGTGCAAGACAGGCACCACCAAGACGCCTCGAGCGCGCTCTGGGAGGACGGGCATCACTCCCAGGCACGTTCGGGCGGGTGTGTGGCCACGCTCTGGTCTCCAGCCCCTACAGTGTTGTCGAGCATGAAGCATTGGTCTGGGCTGTGCGTCCTGGCCAGGACCCAGGCTGTCACCTCCCACATCCAAACTCTGCTGGGGGCACCTAGCACTGGTGCCACCACCAGCTTCTCCAGACAGAGGGGGGTGTTGGTCGGAGGCAGGCCAGGGAGGGGGCCAGCAGGCATGGGGCAGGGTGGTTACCGAGGTTGACAGTGAGCTTCATCTGCCCCCCGTCCAGCTCGAGGCGCAGGGTGTCGGCAGACTCCCTGGAGGTGGTGGCCATCATGAGTCCGTAGGCCCGCTGGGACATGAAGCGCAGGGACACGTCCTCGGCCTCGGTGTGCACGGCGTTAGGCAGCGTGATCTTCATGTACATGGAGCCGTCGTAGCTCAGGACCGTGGCCTCTGCCCAGGAGTGGGGAAGGACAGCAGAGGGGGCCGACAAAGGCCAGGGGAGAGAGAAACAAGACCAGAGAATCATCACAAGACGGCAGGCTGGGACCGGCCGTGAGGGGCACGGGCACGGGAAGCGGGGTCTCCCCGAGGAGGGGGGGGGCACCTGGGGTGATGGCTAGCCTCACCTCTCTCACAGACCCGCCCCAGGAAGCCGGTCCCGATGCAGTCACAGACGAAGCGGTTCCAGCCTTCTCGACAGAGGCCCCCGTTGCGACAGGGAGCGGACGCACACTGCTTCAGCGTCTCCCGAGAGCAGAAGGGGACAACGCCCACGGCCCCCTGCGCCTCGGCCAGGCCCCGGAGGTCTCGGCTACGTCCATCTATGAAGAGGTCCCGCACGCAGCCCACGTAGCCAGCCCTGAGCGCCGCTGTCCACACCTCCGGGGGCAGGGGCAGGTCCACACGGCCTCCCTCAGGGAGACCGCCCAGGTACAGCTCACTCTCCAGGTCCAGGATCTCGCTGTCCCCAGTGGCCAAGAATGGTGTGCTGCGGCTGTTCACAGAGATGGAGCCTGGGGAGCAAGGGAGGGTGGGCCTGAGTGGGGAAGGCAGGAGGGAGACGGCCATGGGCCAGAAAGGGCTGTCGCAGCTCTGCCAAGGAGGCCCAGCACCTGCAGCCTGCCGTGGGCCCAGAAGGACAAGCAGCAGCTGACCTGGAGGCCCGGCTCACTTGTCCTGCTGCCAAAACTGCCTGACAAAGGTCTCCAAGTTCAGGGGCTCTTGCCACCCAGCCCTAGCCCAGAGGAGGTGCAGGAGGTGGACACACCCAGAGTCGGAGCTCCAAGGGGCTGGATCAGTGAGCCACTGGGCCAGCCTGCCAGCCAAGCTCTCCCACAGGGAGCTGGAGGCAGAGAACTTGCAGGACAAGGGAAGATTTGAATCCAAAGGGTTTTTTCCCCCTGCTAACATTTCCTGAGCTCTTCTGACCGCTTGCCAGGCACCTAGCACTTGAAACATATTAGATCACCGAGTCTCACAATGACTCTATGAAATTGATCCTTTACCATCCCGTTTTGAAAGGGCGGATGAGGCTTCCAGAGATCAGGGAGGCTGCCCAAGTGCCTCGGTGGGGAAGGAGCTCAGTCCAAGTCCTGTCCAGGCAGCAGGACCTCAGAGCACGTTCTCCACCCCACCCGTCCCTTGTCCTGAGCACCCCGGCCTGGACCCCGCCCTGTGGCCAGCAGACAGGCAGGCCAGATTCTGGGCCTGTGAGCAGGCTGGAAGCCAGAGGGAAGCCAGGCACAGAGCTACTGAGTTAGAAGGTTCTTTGTAAGGAGTGGGTGATGCTACAGTTTAGATGTGGTTACTCAGGTTGAGATTTGACTACTATTGTGGCGGGGCTAGGGTGGGCCCTGCCGGGGTGATTAGGTCACTGATTAATGCCTTTCTCCAAGGAATGGTATTAATTTGGGAATGAGTTCATTCTCAGGAAAGCAGTTTGTCATAAAACAAGGCTGCCTCCGATTCTGTCCCCTTCATATGCACTTGCTTCCCCTCAGCTCTTCTGCCATGTTAAATAAACTTCTTGTCTTTATAAATTATCCAGTCTCCGGTACTCTGATAGAGCAACAGAAAACAGGCTAAAACAAGTGAACATCTTAGAAAGAGACTGAGGTCAGGTGAGAACTTCAAAGCCTTGACTGAGATCTTAAGCTGCAGAAATTTATATAGTAGTGATTTTATTCTGTTTGTGATTTTTATTCCACAAGTTTTCTTTCCTCCTTTTCAAGTTTGGAAGAATGGGGGAGGTGCTGGGGATTGAACCCAGAGTGGCTCTACCCCTGAGCTACATTCTCAGCCCTTTTTATTTTTATTTTGGAGACAGAGTTCACTTAGTTGCCCACGCAGGCTTCCAATTTGCAATGCTCCTGCCTCAGCTTCCCAAGTTGCTGGGATTACAAGTGTGTGCCACCACACCTGTAATTTTTTTTTTAAGTTCTTCCAAGCTGGGCACAATAGGGCATCCCTGTAATCCCAGCAACTTGGGAGGCTGAAGCAGGAGGATCACAAATTCGAGGCCAACCTGGGCAATTTAGCAAGACCCTGTTTACAAAAAAAAGCAAGCAAACAAAGGTGCTTGCTTTGGCAGCATATATACTAAAAGTTAGAAGGATAGAGATCAGCATGGCCCCTGTGCAAGGATGACATGCAGATTTGTGAAGCGTTTCATATTTTTAAACAGCAAATCCTACACCACGTACCAGTGTGATGCACCCAAAAAAAAAAAACAGTTGAAAACAAAAAAGGGGACGCAGCTTACTGGTCGAGGCCCCTGGGTTCAATCCCCAGAACTGGGGAGGGGTGAGTCTGCCAATCTTAACGGGGTTAGAGAGAGGACAGGGGCTCGGGTCTACATTAGGCCTAAATGTGGAAGGATGTGGGGTTGGCAGTGCAGGAGGAAGTCGGGGTTGAACTTGGCTGCAGGGGGCTGCTGTGCCCTGCAGACACGCTTATTCCCAGCATGCTCTCTGTCCACCACCTCACCTAACTCAGACATGTCGCTCCCTGGCACCCCCTTTTTCTAAATATTTACTTTTAGTTGTAGATGGACACAATACGTTTATCTTATTTGTTTTCCCGTGGTGCTGAAGAGCCTCGCACGTACTAGGTGCGCCCTCTGCTGCTGAGCCACGACCCCAGCCCCCTTGGTCCCCTTGTAATCACATAATCTTTTCTTCTGCCATGATGTCTCCTGTCCCAGGTCCCCAAGAGTTAGGAGCGCCCTCCCCTGACAGACCCCAAACATGGCCCACTGGATCACCTACACCCCTGTTTCCAGCCAGAGTCCTTTGGCACCGACTCGGCCACCCGCCATGGGAACTCCCGGGCTCTACACCACCCAGCTGGCCTCCCAGCAAATAAACCGGGCGTGGGAAAGGGGGAGGCAGGGAAGGGGTGTATGATGGAGAGTCGGGGAGAGGAAACCTAAGCAGGTGTAGCCTGCACTTCCAAGCCACTCTAAGACATGCAACAGGAGCAAGTCAATCCATCACCACAAAGTGTATCTACAGACAACGGGAGGCTATTCAGCCTGAAAAAGGAGGAAAATTCTGACTCATGCAACAACATGGAGGAACCCTGAAGGCACCGAGCTAAGCAAAATCACCAAACGCAAAAGGACAAAAGCTGTCTGATTTGATTTGTAGGAGGTCCTAGAGTAGCCAGACTCGTAGAGACAGGACGCAAGACGGTGGGTGCCAGGGTGGGGGCGGGGAGTGGAATTTGGTGCATAATAGGGACAAAGTGTCCACTGGGAAAGATGAACACGTCCTGGAGATGGATGGTGGTGGTGGGCGCAGAACAGTGGAAACAGCGGTGCCACTGAGTTAGACACTTAAAATGATCATGATGGCAACGTTTATGTTAGGTGTAATTCCAATAATGAAGTTAGAAAAAAAGAAAGAAACAGGGAAAGTTCTAGGGGACTTCTGTTGGAATCGATGCTCACAGTCTGAGCTGGTGTGCACCTGTGAACACAGGCCACCAGAAATGTCTGGAGATTGAGCCAGGAATGGTGGCACACATCTGTGAACCCAACTACTCAGGAGGCTGAGGCAGGAGGATCGCAAGTTTGAGGCTAATTTTGGCAATTTAGCAAGACTCTATCTCAGAATAAAACATTGAAAGGGCTGGTGATATAGTCCAGGGGTAGAGCACACCTGGGTTCAATCCCCAGGACTGCAAAGAAAGACATGTCCAGAGCTGTTCAACACGGAGACCAAAGGCCCAGACAGACCTAGGATGGTATCTGGGCTCTAGAGATGGGTGGGGGGCTCACAGGACCACTCCCTGAGGGCACAGAGGAGCAGAGTGAGCCCTGCAAGGCCTGGTCAGACTTCCAACCTGGGAAGGACTGGTCGTCTGCCTGGAAACCCCAAAAGACTGTGATTGTAAAGACCCCCTGAGGCTGTTGAGAGACACCGGGATGAAGCCACTTCACATGCGCTCTCTGGGGACGGAGGACAGCAGGCCCACGAGAAGCCAACATTTCCAGAAACCCTAGCAGCCCCCTCCTCCCTGTGTGCAGAGGACTGGTCACTCCACCCAGACCTGCAGGCTGGGGGTGGTGACAGCCTGACGAACACAAAAATTTAGCTGACGTTGATAAGTGCTTAAATTGGATAACGTGTCAGGTCTCATTCACATCAATTCTTCCCTCTCTTGGGTAATTCTCTGATGCTCAACAAGATGGAGAAGAGTGAAGAAGAGAGAATTAGCAGGCAGAAGACAAGAGGATGGGAAAGGAAGACTGAGAAGGAAGTGGGGGAGGGAAGGGGGGCTGGACGAGACAGAAGGTTGGACGGTAGGCCCTCGGTGCTGGCCACCTGCTGCCTCGCTGTGCTAGCACCTCCCTGCCTCACGCGGGTGTCAGGCTGTGGACTGTGTCTCTCCTGGCCAGACACAGAGGACAGTCTGTTCAGTTCTGGCCGTCCAAACCTCCAGCACCGTGGACAGCACCCAGCACAGAGCAAGTGCTCATTAAATCCAGCCAGCCTCTCGCCGCATCCTCGGGCTCCACATCCACCCATCCAACCAAACACAGGTGGGAAATATTTGAGAGGAAAAAAAGATGTGTCTGTATTGAACATGAACAGATCTTCTTGTCATTATTCCCCAAATAATACAGCAAAAGGACTACTAGACAACATTTGCGCTGTATTCGTGTCGTAAGAAATCTAGAGATGACATAAAATGCACACAGGGGTGTGCGCCATTGATATGCAGTATTATGTCACTTTACGTAAGAAACTTAGCGTCACAGGTTTTGGTATGGGAACGTCCTGGAGCCAATCCCCGCAGACACTGAGGGATGGTTGTAAGCGTTGTGTGGTTAATAAAAGGCACTTCTGTGGCTCTAGATAGAAGGGAGCTATTTTCTTGAAGGCAGACAGACACCCACTGTGTTAAGGGCTGTGCTAATCCTGTTTTTTCCTCTCAATGATCCTGTGTAATTGTCCCTTTCACAGATAAGGAAACTGAGCCCACATGCAGCGAGTGGCAGAGCTGAGGGGTGTCTGGGTCGGCTGCCAAGGAACACGCTGTTCCTTCTGCTGTGAGGGAAGGGAGTAGGGGGGAGGACTGGAGGAGGGTGCAAGGAGCCGCTGGGAGCAGGACACGATGCAGGGCAGAGACCAGCTGGAGGGGGAAAGAGGCAGCTGGGCAGGTGGTCAGTGGCCAGGGAGGGGAAGGTCCAGAGGCCTCCTGACCTTTGCGCCCGTCCCTCTGGAAGTCCACGTGGCACCACTCGCCGTCGTTGACCTTGCGGCTAGACGCCCGAAGCTTGATGCCCCCTGAGCCCATGTCCAGCAGCAGATAGAGGTAGCCATCCAGCAGCTCCATGGCAAAGTAGTCGGCCCGCTGGGCAGAGCTGTGGCCGCCGGCCCCGGCCCCCGGCCGCCGGCCCTGGCTGAAGAGCAGCAGCCCGTTGGGCTCAGTGGTGCGGAAGTCCAGAGAGATGGAGCCCGTGCGCTTGGCGCTCCAGCGGGGCAGTGCCACAAAGGCCTCGGGACTCTCAAAGGTCACGGGGTCCAGAGCAGCCACATCCTCGCAGCGGAATGACAAGTCCCCCTGCAGCTTCATCTTGGGGTCCCCTTCCTTGGCCAGGCGGGACAGTTCCAGCTTGAAGTCATTGTTCTTATAGACCACCTGCAAGAAGGGCGGGAAAGGCGCTTAGGGCCTGGCCTCTCCCGCCCAGGGGACCCCAGCACCCCACCCCCGCGGCCCCTGCACAGTGCCCCCGGAGCACTCGGCTGGGCCTCTGTTCCAGAACCCAAACACAGAGCTGTGCCCAGCACACCCCCTTGCCCCATTTCCTTCCTCGGCCCCGGCACTGGCCAGAAGCTCACCCCGGGGCTCTCGGGGCCCACGGACTGCCGCTCACAATCATGCAAGGCAGCAGTGACCGCTCCCAGCAGTGACCACTTCCTAACCAACGAGGCTCTGGCACTGACACTCTCATCTGCTCCTCACAACCACCTTAGGAAGCAGGTACCACCAAGCAGCGTCTGGACACAGGGACACAGGGCTCCGGGCTTGGCCAAGGTCACAGAGCTAGAGAGTGGAAGACTGGAGACTGGAACAGCCTCCAGCCTTCACAGCCGGCCTTCCCTCAGGTCCACAGCTGGCTTTGAGGGTCCTCTAGGGGCTGGGGCCGGGGGGCCCCCCAAGGTGCCAGGACGTGAGAGGAGACGTGCCTCTTGACCCAGTCCACGGGCCTTGGGTTTTGGAGAGGGGACGTGTCAGAGATCCCAGGCAGCTGGCCAGGCCAGAGGAGCCACGCAGTTCCTGGGCCGGCCCCAGCCCTCCCTGGACCTACTCACGTCCTTGAGGCAGCCCATGAAGTTGTTGCTGACGGGCGAGCCCGGCAGGTCGGCAGTGTTGGGGCTGCCCCCAATGTAGAAGAAGTCATCCGAGCCCAGCATGGTGTAGTCCTCCTGCGTGTAGCCTGTGGTGGTCAGGATCCCGTCCACCGAGATGGTCACCTGCCCAGCCCAGGGAGGGGAGAGACAGGAGACAACCGGCATCAACTCCCTGGGAAGAGCGGAAGGCCGGGCAAGGGAGGGGCCAGGGGGCGGCGGGGGAGGGGGACCCCCATTTTTATGTCTGCTTGTCTGGGAGGAGGAACAGTGGGGGAGAGAAGGAGGGGGGAGGAGAGGCAGCACAAGATTTGATGGTCCAGGCGGGCCAAGGCCTGGCCGGATGCCCGTGGCTCCAGCTCAGCAGGCAGGAGCCCCAGGAAACTGTAGCGCCCACAAGGCACCAGGGGCAGCTCCGGGAAGGTGCTCAGAATAGGAGAGGGGACTCCAGGACAGGGCTCCACTCCAGGGAGTGGGGGGAAGGCAAATGGCACCCCCATTCTTCTCCTCTGCACAGCATGCTCTGGACACAGGTGTGAATTCAGAGCTCCTTACAGGAGGGAGGCTGGCAGGATGCAGGAGGCTGAGACTCACCTGCAGCCCTCCCCTCGGGGTGCTGCGTTCCTTCCTTCCTTGGGTCCTAGCCCCAGTGACAGCGGAGACTGCAGGGGGAACCCCAGCTCAGATAAGCCTGGGGAGTCCTGGGACTGGGTTGCATGACGTCCTTTGGGGCCGACTGACACCCCTGCCACCCAAGTTCCCAGGTTCCCACTTCTCAGGGCTCTTTACATCTTGTGCACCCCGATATTTAGGTCAATCTCTTTCCTCCAAAGGAC